CATGATGACCTTTTGTTCCTTGGAGGGCTGTCTGTCAGGCCAATCTATGGGGCCCTTTGAAGCGTCTGCAGACCCATCCTCACCTCCATCTGTTAAAGTTCTGCCCCAGAAGACTCACTGTCCCTTCTCTGGTATAAGTTCCACACCTATCTCTATGCCTCATGGTGCTGCTTCATGCTCATCTTCTTGGGGCACCCAAGATCACTTTTCCTAGGGTGGGTTCTATTTGCTTCATTGCTCCTCAGACTCCTCTGGCTGCATTCGGTGCCAGGGCCTGGACTCACTCTCCCCACTGAGGGAATGGGCCAACAGCTCTTCCTGAGGCAACATGAATATTTTCACATTGAAAACCAAGTTGCAGTGTTCTTTGCTGTGCAACAGGGAAGCCATGGGACCTACCTCTCAGGACTTCAGTGAAGGTTTCATGGTATGATGCAGGCGAAGCTCTCTCAGCAGGGCTCCCAGCACCTCTCAGTGAATCCTCTCTGGTCTTAATAGGATCTCTGAGGAAGATTTCCTCTGGTTCCTCTTATTCCCTCCAATTCTTACAACAGTATATGAAGGTCCTATGTCTGTGAGTCTGTCTAGGCTGGGTCTTTTGCATGCCTTTTCTGGATTAATCTTCCCCAAGCTCTATTAGAAAAGGGTATTATTATTCCTGGTTACAGATGAAGAAATACTGTCTCTGCAGATAAGAAACAAGCCTCAGTGGAAAGAGCCAAGATGTCCATCAACAGATGAATGGATAAAAAAGATGTGGTATAAAAATGTCCATCGACAGATGAATGGATAAAGAAGATGTGGTATATATATACAATGGAATATTATGTAGCCATCAAAAGGAATGAGATCTTGCCATTTGCAGTGACGTGGATGAACTGGAGGGTGTTAAGCTGAGTGAAATAAGTCAATCAGAGAAAGACATGTATCATATGACCTCACTGATATGAGGAATTCTTAATCTCAGGAAACAAACTGAGGGTTGCTGGAGTGGTGGGGGCAGGAGGGATGGGGTGCCTGGGTGATAGACATTGGGTAGGGCATGTGCTATGGTGGAGTGCTGTGAATTGTGCAAGACTTTTGAATCACAGATCTGTACTTCTGAAACAAATAATGCAACATATGTTAAGAAAAAAGAAAAAGAAGAAGATAGCAGGAGGGGAAGAATGAAGGGGAGTAAGTCAGAGGGGGAGTCGAACCATGAGAGACGATGGACTCTGAAAAACAAACTGAGGGTTCTACAGGGGAGGAGGGTGGGGGGATGGGTTAGCCTGGTGATGGGTATTAAAGAGGGCACATTCTGCGTGGAGCACTGGGTGTTATGCACAAACAATGAATCATGGAACACTACATCAAAAACCAGTGATGTAATGTATGGTGATTAACATAACAATAAAAAAGAAAAGCAATTTAGTGTTCTAGAAAATGAAATGGAAACATGCAGAATAAAAAAGAAATAGAAAATTTTTTAAAGTCATTAAGTATAAGCTTAGCATTTGTAAGTTTATAAATAATGGAATGAGAACAAACGAAGATGTAATAATAAAGAAATAACAGGAAAAAAGATGTCGTATATATATATATATATACAATGGAATATTATGCAGCCATCAAAAGCAATGAAATCTTGCCACTTGCAATGACGTGGATGGAACTGGAGGGTATTATGCTGAGCGAAATAAGTCAATCAGAGAAAGACATATATCATATGATCTCACTGATATGAGAAATTTTTAATCTCAGGAAACAAACTGAGGGTTGCTGGAGTGGTGGGGGTGGGAGGGATGGGGCGGCTGGATGATAGCCATTGGGGAGGGTATGTGCTATGGTGAGCACTGTGAATTGTGTCAGACTGTTGAATCACAGACCTGTACCTCTGAAACAAATAATACATTATATGTTAAAAAAAAAAAAAGAAGAAGAAGAAGAAGATAGCAGGACGGGAAAAATGAAGGTGGGGAAATCGGAGGGGGAAATGAACCATGAGAGACTATGGATTCTGAGAAACAAACTGAGGGTTCTAGAGGGGGTGGGGTGGGGGGATGGGTTAGCCTGGTGATGGGTATTAAAGAGGGCATGCACTGAATGGAGCCCTGGGTGTTATATGCAAACAATGCATCATGGAACACTACATCAAAAACTAATGATGTAATGTATGGTAACTAACATAACATAATAAAAAAATAGCAAAAAAAAAAGAAAAGAGAATTCTCAAATAAATGCATGTTGATAAGTAACCCCTACACATACACACACACACACACACACACACACAAAGAGAGAGAGCAAAAGTAGTAATGTCTCTGACATGGACCCCCACAACATTTTTCTAGAGATGTCTCCCGAAGCAGGGGAAACAAAAGCAAAAATAAACTATTGGGACCACATCAAAATAAAAAGATCTATAAAGTGAAGGAAACCATCAACAAAACAAAAAGTTTACTAAATAGAAGATATTTGGTAATGATATATCCAATGAGGGGTTAATATCCAAACATATAATGAGGTAATACAACTGAGCGGCAAAGAAATCTAAATAATCCAATTAAAAAATGAGCAAAAGACATGAACAGCCATTTCTCTGAAGAAGACATACAGATGGCTAAACAGGCACATGAAAAGATGCTCATCATCACTTATCATCAGGAAATGCAGATTAAAACCACAATGAAATATCACCTCCTGCATGTCAGAATGGCTAAAATTACAAATGCAAGAAACAACAAGTATGCTGAGGATTTGGAGAAAAGGAACACTAGCACACTGTTGGTGGGAAGGCAAACTGTTGTAGTCACTGTGAAAAGAGTGTGATTGTTCCTCAAAAAATTATACATAGAATTACTGTATAATCCCATAACTCAAAAAGTGAAAAAAACAATCCCATTATCTCCACTACTGGGTATTTACCCAAAGAAAATGAAAACACTAATTCAAAAAAATAAATGCACACTTATATTTATTGCATCATTATTTACAGTAGCCAAAATATGGGAGCAACTCAGGTGTCCATCCAGAGATGAGTGGATAAAGAACATGTGGTGGACATATAAAATGGAATATTACTCAGCCACAAAAAACAATGAAATCTTACCATTTGTAATGAGATGGATACAGGTAGAGAGTATAATGCTTGGCAACATAGGTCAGTCACAGAAAGACAAATACAATAGGATTTCACTCCTATGTGGAATTTAAGAAACAAAACAGATAATAGGGGGAAAAAAGAGAAAGAGAGGCAAACCAAGAAATAGACTCTGAACTATATAGAGAACAAATTGATGGTTATCAGAGGGGAGACATGTGAAGGGATGGGTGAAATAAGTGATGGGGATCAAAGAGTACTTATCATGATGAACACTGAGTAATGATTAGAAGTATTTAAATACTATTTTGTAAAGCTGAAACTAATATAACACTATACACTAATTATACTGGAATTAAAAATTAAAAATAAATAAATAAAATCTTGAAATAATTTGTTTTGTTATATCAACAAAGCTTAGATCAATTTGTTTTGATTTGTATTTCTATAAATGTTGGATCTTTTCACTTAATTACACAGTTATATAGTTTTGTAAAACATTTGCATGTTCCAATGTAAAATAAGTTGCATTGAGTAAAACCTAGTCCTTACAACCGCCTCTCCACACAGTACCATCACTTCCCCTATAGATAACTGAATTTTATTAATACAGTTGTCTTGTGTTTAATTAAAGAATATGTGCAAATATATATATACATGTTTTACACTGTCTTAGATCATCAGTAACATACTATACACATAATTCTCCATCTTGCTTTTTTCAATGAACAATAAACAGTATATCCTGGAGATGAGAGCATAGCAATATTATAGGATATTACTCCTTTGTATATATAAGCCGTCTATATTGTGACTGTAACATTTCCTTTAAAGAACATTTGAATTTTGTGTTTTACCATTTCAAATAGTGCTGCAATTAATAATTTTAAGCATGTATCTTTTTAAAATTTTCCAGCTTTTTTGTCCCCCCCAGCTTTATTTAGGTAAAACTGACAAATATAATCATATATATTTAAAGTATACAATGTGATGATTTCATATATATGTACATATGGTGGAATGAGCACTGCAGTCAAATTAATTAATACATCCATCACCTCACATACTCACCTTGTGTGTGTGGTGAGCAGGCTTAGGATCTACTGTCTTAGCAAATTTCAAGTATTGTTGTTGTATAGTATTATTACACAGTATTATTAACTATAATCACACTATACATTCACCTTATAACTGAAAGATGTGCTCTTTCAACAGCATTATACGTTTCCCCCACTTTCCAATGCCTACCAACCACCAATCTACTCTCATTTTTTTATGACCCTGATTCTTCAAAGTGAGATCACTGGGGCAAAGTGTTAATGTGTGTATAATTTTCCTAGAGATGGGTTAATTTACCACATTGTAAGCTAGATCATTTTGTGTACCCACCAACATTGCATGATGACAACTATTTTTCTATAGTTTCACCCACAGAATATCAAACTCTGCAATTTTCCCCAATCTAAAGGGAGATAAATGATATTTTTGTGTAGATGTCATTCCTAATTTGCATTTCCCTTATTAGATGGAGGATTGCATATATTTAAATACCTTTTGCATTTTTAAAATTTCCACTTAGATTTATCAAAATCCTCTTGTCTGTTATTCCCTAACCTCTCAAGTTCAGGCACCAAATACACTGATAGCAGCCAAGGAGTGTCTAGACCTACAATATGCAAACCTTGGACTATTTTTCTATCTTAGACAATTGTCCCTCTCACAAAATACCCCAGATAAAGTTTTTCCTTAGCTAATGTTTCCCTTTCATTTCCTGTGACACATGTTCAGCTATCTTTTATGCTTTTAAATAAAATGATAACTCTGGAAAGGACAAGGAGGATTATCAGTCACATTAATTGATGATCTACAAACAATCAGAATTTATGCATTCACAAAAGAATGACAGGAATGCCAAAAATAGACTATGTATCCATTTATTTAAAAATCAGTTTTGAGGATCTACTGTGTAAACAGTAGATTTTTTTACTACTATGTCAGTAGAAAGACCAGTGCTGGCTATACAGTAACAATGACACAAAGTGTTATTCTCTCCCATGAGCAGAAAACTCGATTCTTGTCCTTTATTTTCCTAGGAAGGATCATATCAAAGGATTCTTTAGAGCTGATTGCTTTCACTGTTAAGTAACAGTCATTAAATTCATGGTTTGTTCAAGAGTGAATTATGGAAATGTCTGTGAAACACCTTGAGGGCAGTGGGTCAGTATTGTTTCAAGGGAAGTCCTAACTCAATTTTCTAGGCACCAATGCCATACCAACACTGAGAATAATTCAGGAGCTGGCTGCCTCACTTTTCCCATTTTCATTCCCTACATTATGAAGTGGATAGGTTTGCCCAGAGCCCACAAGGTCCTTAAAAATCTCTTCTTTTTTAAAAAAAACTTTTGCGTCACTCACCACAGTCTCAAGGAAATAGTTTTGCAAGTAGAAAATCTTCCTAAAGTAAAGACCAGTGGCAATGAGTCCTCCATTAACAGAGCAGAATTTTTCCACATACCTTAACAGTTTTTCTCCTAACGATTCATCATCCTTTTCAATTGATAGCAAGTGGGGAGAACTAAGGTATGCCTTGAGTTTCTCCAATGACATGTTAAAGTCCTTGGCCATGGTTTCCAGGGATGCATCATCCAGCCCAAAGTAAGACCTGTAGAGGGTTAAGGTCTCCTCCAGCTTCTCCACATCATTATCACTGATCAAGCCCATGAAAGGGATGGTGGCTGATGCTCCAGCCTTCAGGGCCTCCAACCAGACCTTCTGTCTCAGGGAATCCCTCTTCTGGTCAATGGCGGCCTCAGTAATATTTGGCAGGTATTGCATGAAGATGTGGCGCTTGTGGGCTGGGAGGTCCCTCAGAAGGGTGGTCTCCAGGCTTTGGAAATCATAGTCAGACAACTCGAGGTTGGAGACTAAGAAGACCTGAGGGTCTCTCACTTTGGCATTCTGCAACTGAGTCACACAGTCATTGCGGATCCTTTGCAGGATTTCATCCTTATTGAATGTGTTGGGTTTACTCCTTTTTAGATTATATAAATCACTGTCCACTTTAGATCGGACAAAGTAGAAATTCTTGTTCATTTTTCTAATTGCCTTTGCTAGATGTGCATCATTGCTTTTGAAGCGTGTAGAAGAGATGATAATAAAGAAGTCATACTCACCAAATTTCATTTTCTCCAGATACTTCTGAGGCTGAAAGTTAGTGGTCCCTATGCCTGGCAGGTCCCATAATGTCACATTGGGAAACTTCTTGTGTTCATATTTGGTTCTCTCAAAAGTTGTTTCCAGTTCCCCAGTGGGGGCAGCCCCTTCTTCTTCATGCTCCAAACCCCGCAAGGCATTGATGAAGCTGGACTTCCCTGTCCCAGACTCCCCAGTCACAGCAATGCTCAGTGTGGCATTGTCAATGTCTCTCAATGCATCACTAATTGCAGAAACTGCTCTCTGAAGGTCCCCCTCCTTCAGGCATGATTGAATCAATGTGACGGTTTCCTGAGAGAGGATTTTGCTTTCCACCTTGAAGTTCTTAAAAAAGTTGTCAAAGCTGGAGGCCAAATCGCAACCCTTTCTATTAGAGGATGTGGAAGAGGAGGACCCCATGGCTGGAGCAGTAGAGGACCTATGGGGAGCAAAGAAGAGGGAAGCAAAACGAGTTAGTGCAAGAGGTGGTTTGGGTGTGTTATGATGGGCAAGGGAGAAACTCAGTCCTCACCACAACATTGTATTCAGGAGCTCTTCTCTTTCTGTTCAGGCTTTGTGTAGACTTCTGACCTAGAGGAAAAGTTTGCCCATGCTCAGCCTCTTCCCTTATCTTGGAAAGCCCTTCTTCTTAAAGGTGTTCTTCATTTTTCTAGACTTATTTCAAAGCCTGATTCTTCCATCCAAACTTAGCTGCCCATATTTTTCTTTATTTAACTTGCTTCACTTTTCTTTATTTGTAATGTTATGAAAATAATACTTCTTTGTGGTAGCAAATCTAAAAAGACAACACCAACATTCACCACCACACCCCTTCTCACCTGTGGTGTAAGAACCTCCAGAAAACACACTTCTGATAACCTCCAACATCAGCATGTCATAGACATTGATTCCCCTCTGAGGCAGCTAAATAAGAATTAGTGGCTCCTTTCCTTCTCAGAAAAGATGCTATATATCTTGATTAGGAGATAGAAAGTTTTAATGGTTGCAAATGTGTTTTCTTTTATCTAGAAAATGTGCTGGTTCATGAAACAAGGTATTGAAAGGATTATTTTTATTTTTCCTCTAGCAGAAGCAGTAGGTGGCATGGATTCCCATGTTCTAAAAAAACATATTGGACTATCCACTTGGGACTTGCTATGAGTCATCCCAACTGTCCTGTGACCCCCACCCATTACCTGCTTTATGCCTGTGTATAAAAGTGGAAAGAAATCATGTAGGAGAGATAATCCACCTAGAGGACTGACTGATGTATAAAGTGTCATTGATGTAAAAGATCATGTTAGCAAAGACTGAAGCAGTTACTGAATGGGATGTAAGATATCTGTCACGATAAGGAGGTCCCTCTGTCACCTTCTCTGATGTGAATGAAACTGAGCACATTTTGGAGTCCTGGATCTATCTGATCACTGGAAACTTATACCTTAAGAGGTGCACCAGAAGAAATCATATACTCAGGACGAAATGTAATGTGAAATACTTGTATACTGTCCCCTACTGAGATTGGGTGCAGAATTTTTAGACCAGGGAACAACCTCAAGTCACTACTGATGCCTGGGCAGCATGCAGGCTGTAGAAATGTCCTTTGGCTAGAAGTGAGGGATCAGGACATCCTCTATGGGCTTCCTTGTAGCCAAGGTCTGAAGTGCAGGAGAGGATGGCAAAAGATATTTTTGGAAGAAATTATTCAGACCAAGTGTACATTGTTTGGACTGGCACACATATGAATGGGGCATGCAAACATTCTCCTTAGAAGAGAAAAGTATGGGAATCTAGCTTGTCAAATATGAAAAAGGAAGCTATTAAGCTATTAATCATGGTGCCAACACTTCTGACTACCTGGCAGGAATATTTTTCACATACAGAAGAGTGGAAATCTTGAGCATCTGGCATGTGAAGGGACCACCCCTTGCTGTTTGGAGACCAAACCCCCACAACCCCTTTGGACAGCAGGCAGCACACAAAGCAAAATGAGCAAGCCTGGTGTGGAAGTTGCATATACAACCTGGGCCTCAAGGAGGCACCAACAAGGTGAGACTCCAGCCCCATCAGGTGTAGTCTCATGCCTGTGCATTCTCAGAGGATGGGGAAGGAAAAACAAAAAGAGTCCTTTAAACACCTTGTTTCATGAGCCAGCATACTTTCTAAATAAAACAATACATAGGAGGGTGAGGAAATCTGACTGAGACAGATCCTAAGGAATGGAACAAATAAAAAGAAAGGGAACCAAATGACAGGATTAGAGGGTAAGCAGATATGGACAGTAAAATTCTGTGTGCTGAGCAAATTTCAACCTCACAAAACCCATGCCCTATTGTTAAGGTTCTATACCTCACCTGATGTTGTATGTGAAGCTCTGTTATTTATTTTCTGCTGCAACAGCAGTGCAGGGGGAGCAGGGGCAGAGTACTTTATGGTATCCCTGGGAGGTTGTATTTCACCCTCAAGCAGTGTGTTCTCTATAACTGGGATAGAAATGGGAGGAAGGTGAGAAATCCATGCCAATAAACCTTAGATGTGCATCTCTACATATATTCCTCATCTCATCCCCTTAATAATTCTGTAAGGACATATAACCATTTCCAACTTCAAATTAAAAATCAAATAAATGATGAGGTTGAGAGACAGACAATGAGGGTCCTACTGTTAGCAATGCTCAGAACTAGGATCCAAGGGCAGAGCTCTGTCTCAGGAAGCAAAGGAAGAGCACACAATTAGGTGGGGAGAGGTAAAACTAGGACTCAAAATGAAGTCAGTGTGAGACACACAGGTTTTATATTTCTATGGAGAGATGTGTTAAAAAGAAAGCCACAGGGCCATAATGGATCCATTTAAGTTAAAGCCCCAAGTCAGTAAACCAAGACTTGGCACCTAACGGCAGTTTCAACCCCCAGGGATGTAATCTTACAGCAGTCAACTTGGCAGTTTCCTGGTTAGCACTAAAAACTGTACTGACAGATCCCCTTCTCTCCCCTTAGGATGGCAACTGTGCCTAAATCAACGATTCTTTCCTAATAATTGTTTTTCTGCTTTCTTCATTTAAAATCCTTTCCTTTTCTACCACATAATGGCGCTCCTTTCTAATTCCTAGATGAGATATTACCCAATTCAAAAAATCACTTAATAAAGTCAATTAGGTCTTTAGAATTACTTGGTTCAATTTGTTTGTTTAACAGTTTGGTGTCAGTGTCTAGATCCAAAGCAAACTTCTGACTGTATTTGGGGACAACAAGCAAAACAAGTGTGGTGCCCCATGAATCCTTTTGAGTTCACTCTTTCTCAACATTTCCAAGAGCCATTGGTAAGTCCATCTTGCTTTGGGCTCTGCTCTTTTTTGCGTTAGAGCTTCTGAATGAATTGCCTTTCCAACCCAGGGTTAATAGATAATTCTGTCACTGATATAGGAGGTTCTGACAGAGCAACCATTCTTAGCCCTTGGTTCAATCCACAAGTCCACATTGGAATTCCTTCCCCAGTTCCAGTCCACAGCCTATATTCACTGCTCTTTGGTGGCTTAGTCTGTTCCCTGTTTCCTGTCTGCCATCTTCATTAATGGAATCTGCTGATTTAGTCCACAATGGGAATTTGTGGTTATGTGTAGAGGGCACTCTATTGAATAGTTCATAGTAACTTAAACCTAGTCCTTGGTTCTGAACTCAGATTCCAAGTTGGGAACTGTTGGTGGCAGCTACAGTTCTCCATGTGTGTGGAATCAGGCTGCAGCCCCCATTCTTGGAGGTCTACTAGTTCAATCACTGTCTCAATCCCTAGTTATTTGGGTACTGCTGGTGTCCATAATTCAATTACATCAATACTGTTGGTTTCTCTTAATATGTCCATGAGGTAAATGATTAGCTTAGGGTAAAACACTAAATAAACAAATAAACAAAAATAAATGGGATTTTTTAAAACTCCAAACAGTTAAGTGCTCTACCCGCCAACACACTGTGTATGTTATATCTAAGATCTATGGTTCTGCCTCTTTCTCTGTTGGTAGGAATGCAGACTAGGGCTGCACTCTGGAAAACAGTATGGAGGTGACTCGAAAAGTTAAAAATAGAACTACCATATGATCCAATAATTGCAATACTAGATATTTACCCAAAGAATTAAAAAAAACTGATTCCAAAGGATACATGCACCCCAATATTTATAGCAGCATTATCTACAATAGCCAAATTATGGAACTAGCCCAAATGTCCATTGACTGATGAATGGATAAGAACATGTGGTACATATATAGAAAATGGAATATATAGAAAATTTCATCCATAAAAAAATAAAGTCTTCTCATTTACAAAGATGTGGATGGACTATCACATCATTCTGAACACCTATGAATTCAACCTGAGATGTAAGAAAAGAATTGCTGAATCTCTACAAGTGGAAAAGCGACCACTTTTTGCAAGGTAGGAGGTGCAGGGAAGTGAATCTGAGGGGAGAAAGATGAAGGGCAGGTGAGGGAACCTCCATAAGCTGGCTATGGGAAAGAGAAATAACCCCAGAGCACAAAGCCAAAACCTGTAGAAATCTGCTTCAGTGAAAGACATCCCTGCCTGAAATGTGCTCATTAGGTGAAGCGGGAGACTAGTTGGGACAATGTGGTCTCAGGATCCCCTGAATCACAGAAAGAACAGGTTGCCTGAGCCAGTAGAGTTCCCAAGCATTGGAGCAGAGAAACCAGTTGTCAGCAAGCTCTGGAGGAGGCTCTCAATTCAGTTCACCATAAACCACAAGCCATGGCCCGTTGGGGTGACTGCTCTCTGTGTGGAGACCCTGTAAAGGACAGGAGCATGGGGACCCTCTGCCTTCCCCTGGGAGGGACAGAGCAGGTGCGTGCAGGACCAGGCAACAGTTCTCTGTGTGGGAGCCCTGTAAAGGACAGTAACTGGCAACCATCCGCAGTCCCCTGGGAGGATTGTTGTGGGCACACACCGCAGGAGTCTGTAGAGTTTGGCACACACAAAAGTGAAGACCATTTATCCCTGAGAGAGGGGGCCATAATTTTTCAGCTCTGGGGCTAGAGATCGGGCATGGCCATTTTTATTTTGATCCTCTAAAGAGGCATGAAAGCCTTCAGGGAACAAATGCCAGTCAGAGCAACTAAAAACAACTTACACTGAGTCTGGTCCACTCACAAGGGGAGGTGAAGTACTCCCAGGCAAAGACACCTAAGAATCAATGCAGCAGGCCCCACACCCAAAAGGTCAACTGGAAGAACAGGTGAACAGCAAGTTTACAGCCCACATGGGATTGCAAAACTCCAGTGCTAGGGGAAAATAGTATATACAATTTGAGGGTTTTTTTCTCATGATTCGTTTATCTTTCTGTTTAAAATTTTCCATTTTTTTTCTTTTTTCCTCTTTCAACAAGTTTCTTATTTTATCAAGTCTTTGTTTTTAAGTCTTTTTTTAACTT